CGAGTGCAGAATTTGACACTGTTAATTATTATCTCAGGCACTGTCATTATCATAATTAAAGCTATTATTAAATATCTAAATGACAGAGTGTTTGTACCTGGACAGGTTTACCAAGACACTTTTCAAAAACCAGCATACCTCCTTTCCCAAAAAAGAGTTAAATGACCCTCTGAAATGCCTGAAGTAAGAACATGACACTTCTGTTCAGAGTGCAGAAGAAACAGCCAGGAGTCTTGAGGGAGTTGTTAAGATTCAGTGTGAACACTAGAAGAACACACAGCACCTGTTTCCTATGATACATACCCCCTCGTTCTTGTAGTTCATAAAATGGCCTGGGTTTGGCTCACCTTCCCACCCTGCTTAGTTAGCATCCACCCTGAGAAGCACCTTAGCAGATGCTATATACATGCAAACACACCTGGGGACAAGCTAACACAGCCCTCCCGGTGACAGCTCCCTTGGCGATACACAAAGCAAAGACACACTGGGGTTAGTTAGGCAAAGATGCATTTTTAAGGATTTTCAGGGTATTTGGCTACTGTGTGAATGGGGCTAAAAATAAGCTCATGGCTGGAAGGAAAGAAAAAATAAAAGGTTTTTTAAATCACAGATAGATTTTAGTGCACTGAACATGTATTTGCCAAGCCCGTTGGATTTTTTACTTCAACGCCATTCCACGACTCCGCTGACTATTACAAACACAAAGTAAATTTGAAGATTTATAACATAGCAACTCTGATCTGTAATGAAATCTGAAATCTAAATGTCTAGGCTAATAGCATTTTAAAAATGAAGCAAATGTTTGTCTGAAATAGGCTACAATTTCACTGCTCTTGCGAAAGGTAAGATTCCTAATTCTTGGCCACGAGCATGCCCATTATGTACAATGGGCACCATGGCCAGAGAAATTATACACTGCAGAAATGTTTTTGTATAAGGAAAATTGTTATCTGGAAACTTTCACCTCAAAGCACGATTTTGAATGCTATTCAATTACAAATATTAAAAATAACATAAAAGAAATCCAGCACCAGATTCAGAGAAATAATCCCCAAGGCCCCTGGGAAGGTTTTAGAGTCTAAACAGGGCCTGGAACAATGTTTTCTTTTTAAAATATTGCTGGTGCTCAGAGAGGACATTAAGGCTATCATCAATACCCACCTGACTGCTGTGCCAGTCTCACAGAAAGACACATCTCATTTCATTAGACAAAATAAAGACAAATCAACTGTAAATTAATGTTCTTTGATTGTATTATATTTCTTCAAAGCTCCCTGTTTTTATTGCCTTGTCCTCATTTCTCTTGTCTTCATATTTTTCACATTTACACATTTATTTAATATTTTCTCCTTACAAGGCACCTTTCACATAGCTCATTTTATTCTCACGGGAACCAAGTATTATTACCTTGGATTTTAAAAGTTCAAAAATTGAGGCCTAAAGCACTAATTGACCTAAGATTTTAAAGTGGAGGAAAAAGAACTTAAATTTAATTTTTCTGATTGCACACTACCATTTCTCAGTGGACATGAGATTTTTCTGTTAACCATTTTCTTCCTTCCTCTTCCATTCTTCATCCCTAAATTCTATATGCTTATTCTCAATGGCTGGTATCAGCTCTGACATCCTCCAACCGGGAACCTATCCTGAGGCACATGCCAAATTTCAAAGGAGATGCCTCTCCTATGTGCTCCTATAACAAACACTTTGCATTTCCTTGTGAGAGGAGTCAAGATTGGCTCCTTGAAAACAAGTGATTATGTCTCACTTATTCAATATTGGGATGCCTGCAATGTGCAAAAAATCCAATAGCACTTCCTGTTCAGAAAAATAAAAACCCACCCCCAAAGAGAGTTTAGATGAGCACGTAGAAGAGGCACCTCCTGGTTGGTGAACATCTGAATTGACACTAGAGGATAAATAAGAATTACCTAGTTGGGGAAAAAATAATAATAAATAATTATCCAGTTAAAGGGTTAAAGAGACTGGGAGGACTAACCAGGTGAGGAGGGGGGAAGAAAAGAATAAAAATAACCAAATAGGAGAAACCCAAATACTACTACGCATTTAAAGAAGGAGGCTACCTGCCTATCCAAAACCACTCAGTTATCTAAACCTCACCAACAGCAAATCATTTGATGACAGAAATGTGCTGCAAGGTGTAAAAAAAGAGGGCTCTAAAAACAATTCTTTCCATAGTTTGACAATAGGTAAATTCTGATGATCCTGAATCTCTTTGTAAAGCTACTACTGGAGAAGGAACACTATCTCTCCCTCAAATACACCAGCCCTTCTACCTTGACCTGCCTCGAAAATAGCCTAAACAACACAATCCATTCCCCCATATTCCAGTATTAAATAGATAATAGTACTGCTAGAAATATCACAAATCCTTCCTTTTATCATGAAAGTAAAGAGAAGGTGGCTATAATAGAATTTTCCTATCAGCAATCTCTATCTGAAACCTGTTTCACTATTAAATTACATTATTTTAATACAAAATATTTCATACCAAGAGACAAACAGAAAATAACAAACATCCATGCACCCACCATTCAGTTTCATGAAATCAGAACATTCTGTCATATTTAACTTTATATCTTTTTAATTTTAATAAAACAGTATGAATACATTTAGAAGCCTGGTTTTATCTCCTACCTAATATGGCTTTCTGCCTCCTGAAAAAAGACACTAGCATAAAGTTGATGTACTCTTTTTAAAAATACAGGAATATAAAGACTATATAGGATTATTTAGTGGTTTCTTAAATATTACATGAACTATGCATTTTATAATACAGCTGCTGATATACTCTAAACCCTTGCTAAAAGAGGGCAGCAGAGGCCTAATAAACTAGAACAAAAATCTTTGTAAATGCAATTTGAATTTACACATAAGTAGGGAAAACTGGAGGTACAAAAAAAATAAACATAAATTAAGAGTAGTAGGTGAACACTCATGTTCCAGCTGGGAGAACAATAACTGAGACCCCTACAAAGGGACAACACTATGTATTATATACTATTTTTCTGTATCTTTGTAAACACTTACAAATATTAGGTATGTAGGTTTTCACATATGAAAAATGATAATCAGTAACTGACAGTGGTTTTCATTTACTTTTCCCTTGTTACTAATAAGGGTGAACATCTTTTCCTATGTTCATTAGTCATTCTAGCTGCACGACTTGTTCTTCACCAAAAGTTCACCATTTCTCTCTTAGGTTGATTTTTGCTTGTTTATTTGGAGGTATTCTTTATATATACTGAATACTTCTTGGACATACCACTGTATTCCCATTAGAATGTCTAAAATTAAAATGACCAGTGGTGCCTGGGTGGCTCAGTCAGTTAGGTACACGTCTGACCCTGGATTTTGGCTCAGGTCATGATCTCAAGATCAAGCCCTGCCTCAGACTCCAAAATGGGCATGAAGCCAGCTTAAGATTCTCTCTCCCTCTCCCTCTGCACCAGCCCCCAACTCTCTCTCTCTTACCTTTCTGAATCAATGAAGGAATTAATAAATAAATACATACATACAAACATACATACATAAAAATAAAATGATTGAACACATCAAGTGTTGTTGAAGATGTAGAGCAACTGGAATTTTCATACACTACTGGCAAGAATGTAAAATGGCACAACCACATCAGAATATAGTTCAGTGGCTTCTTAGAAAGTCAAAATACAACGACCTTATAACATAGCCATTCCATTCCCAGGTAGTTACCTAAGCAAAATAAAAGCATGTATCCTTACAAAGAATTGTGCATGAATGTGCATAGCTTTACTTGTAATAGCGAGACACTGGAAACAATCCAAATAACTACCAAAAGTTAGATGAAAAAACAAATATGAATGGGTACATGAATAAATAAATAAACCATGGAATGGAATACCACTAAGCAATAAAAAGAAATCAACTACTGATACACACTACAGTATGTATGGATCCTAAAATAATTATAGTAAAAGAAACCAGCCTCCCCCTCAAAAATAGGGTACACATCATAGGATTCATTTATAAAAATCTGTCAGTAATGACAGAAAGTAATCACTGATGGCCTGGGGTAAGGAGAAGTAAGGAAGAGCAGGAAGGAGAGATTACCAATGAACAGGAGGACACTTTTGTGGGTGATACACATGTTCATTATCTTGATTCTGCTGGTGGTTTCATAGGTGCATACATATGACAAAATTCATAGAAGTGTGGACATATGTTCAGTTTACTGAATGTTAAAAGCTTGTAGACTTTAAATATGTAGAGTTTATTTCGTATCAATTATAACTCAATAAAGCTGTTCCTTTAAAAAGTTCATAAAAATAGTAGGAAATTGAAGACAATCCGAACCATGCTAGGCTTCTGTCTTCTAAACATCTTTTAAAATACAGGCCATGACTTAAAAACATCCCCTAACCTTCTCTTTACATCCTAAAAATAAGCAAAATAATGTTTTGAGTAAATTAAAATAGTGAGGGGGATAGGCAGCATTAGAGACAAGAAATTATGCTGGAGATATAACTAAGAGTAAGTGACTAAACTGAGAATCCCAGTCTTAAAAAGATTGTTCTTCCTCCAGGAAATTCACAGTTAATGTGTTTGCTATTGATAGCAGTAATCAGTATGCCAACATATAAAATTTTCCACTGGCCCAACTCACATGGTTGAGAATCTAGCCCCAACAATCCAAGGCTGACCTAATGAAAATATAATAATAACACTAATCAGCTGTAGGCTTCCTCTCCACTATCTTAATCCATTATCATTCTCATGAAAGATTGTAATCACTTTTCTTGCTCAAGCTAATTCCATTTTCATGTCCTCCTGCTCTTGTCCTCCGTAAGTTCTACTTCATAGAGAGCCAAAACCACTAAGCCCCAACCTAGACAAAAAAACCTACATACAGTTACATACAATTAGCTTTAATGATTTCAGAAAGGTGGTATTTGTTAAACATTTAAGCCACCAATGAAAGACAAAAGCATTTAAGTACCTACCATCTCCAAAAATATGTGTCACAAGCCTGATAAGTGTTTGCTTAAGATCAAACTCGATGAGCTTAGTGGCCTCCATGGTATGTGTCTCTTGTTTGTAAGCCGAGCGAGAACTCTGTTCAAAGAGCTGTAGGCTCTCTCCATCCTTTATGCCAGCAAATAACTGTAAACCAAGAGGAATAATATGCATAAATAAAAATAGCATCCTGGACAGCCTACATGAAAAAACATTATGTGAGAATAAATCCATTAAGTCTTCTAGTCAATGACCATATTGAAATTAACACTCATTTAGTACGGACTTTGAACAAAGCACTATGCTACATGTAATTGAGAGTCTATAGGGAATTAAAAGATACTGTCCTGATCTTTTCTCATCTCTTCATTTTACTTTGGCTTAACTTACAGTCATTTCCTCAAAAGAGACATTATCCTCAATGCTAGTGCAAATACCAGTGAATCAAGCTTTCGGACTCTAAAATGTATTCTTGAACATCCTACAGTGTCCTTACAGTGTGACTAAATAAGAAAGTATATTCTAAGAATTAAATTTTGTAAAGCACACGAAGGCAGAAAGCATGCTGAACTTTGCTTAACCCTGTTATCTCTAAAACTTAGGACAGAAAATGAAATATAGGTGAACACAAGGCTATGTGTTATGGTAAATAAATTTCAGGTAATGATTTGTAAAGTAGAAATAATAACACTAAATTAAGAGACTGTGATAATTAAATAACATGAAAAGCATAGCATACTGCAGACTAGATACATTTTAATTATCATCATTATTAATCACATCTCTTATTAGTCATAAGCTGGTTCCCTCACTTCCTTCCTTTAAATAATAAAGTGTACCCATCTTTAACAACAAAGTAAATCTTCACCTGCTAGGAGAGGACTCAAGATGGAGAACTAAGCAAATGAATCTATCATTCTTAACACCTAATGTCCCAAGAAATAAAAAAAAAAAAAATTAATGTCTTAACAAAAAAAAAAAATAAGTCAACTTCTATTTCTAGTAATATTGAGCTGAATAATTAGAACCAAGCCTCCTCATAAATCTATTAAAATATACAAAAATTCCTAAAAGCACAGAAGTAACACAATAGAGAGGAATTAAAACTCTACAGGAAAGCACAAAACCAGGGGAAAAAGCACTACATAAGCCAGAGAGAAACACTGAGAATATCTGCATATACAATGTATCTACTGAAAAGCTGAACATTGGTTATGACAGCTTACCACAGCAAGTCAGGGTCAAGTGAAACCCCACAGTGTCTGACCAAAAAGCATAATCCAATAAACAGCCCTAAAGGACTTACCCCCATGATAAGAATGAATACAATATTCTTGTACAGACTTGTAGTTAGGAGTCACATTATTTGGGCAAGAGAGAGAATCTCAGGCTGTGAAAATAAACTAAAGCAATCACAGACTAGTAGCTTCTCTAAGTGTCTAGCAAAATCAAAAGAAAATCTCAAAAAAAGATTCTACTATCCTATAACTCAAACTAGTCCTATTAGAGTGAAGACAATGCAGCTGCCAAAGTCTGTTCTTCAACAATTATTCTAAAATAACTGAGAACAACAAAAAGAGTAAATAAAACTGTTAAATAACATGGGAAAAGGACAATGCCCAAATTTCAAAATGATTATACTATATTTCAAAATGAGGGAGCAAGGAAGCAAAGGAGGAAAGAAGGAAGGCATGCAAGTTAAATAATTCCCAGAGAAAAGGAACTATTAAATTCCATCCCACTTTTTACCTTTGAGGTAAGCAAGCACAAGCAGAGAAAAATTGAGGGTAAGGGAAAAAAGGGGAATTGGTGAAGGATTAAGGTTGATCTAAAAATCACCACTAAAAAGAGTAAGTGATTTTAAGTGTGAAAATCCTACAAGTATTCTAAGATATTTGGCTAAAGATCACAATGAAGGGACAGCATGACCAATTAAAAGTGACAATCCTCAAAATGCATGGTTAGAATGGAAAAGAAAAAGATGAAAATAATGAAAGACATCCATTGGCAACTGAATGGGGTTCCATAAAAATAAAGCAAACCTAAAAACGTAGAAGGTTTATAAAATCATTTCCTTCCCCATCTCATCCAAAAAAACAAAACAATACAAAATAAAACAAAAAATTCCACTGGAGGCTCTGTACTTTGCTGCACTAACAGAAGAGGGCACCAGGCAACTACAAATTCTTCCAAACCAAACACCCACAAAAAGTAACAGAAGAAAATGAAATAAAGCTACATAGAAAATACCAGAAACACTCAGTACAGCTTAACTGATGAAATTCTATTTTCCCCTTTTCCTCAAAAAGAAAGTCAAGAAGCAGCAGCAGAAGAAGATAACATAATACTTCAAAACCAAATTAAATACACTAAAAAGCATTTGGGGTTCTGAATAACTGCTTGATTCAGAAACTCAAAAATTAAGAACAAAAATGTATGAAAAACAGGAAGAAATGAAAAATAAAATTGATTAAACTCAGAAAGGAAAGACAACAAAATTTTCTTGAAATAGAAGTCTAAATCACGAAGTACATGGTAGAGAAGAGCCTCAGGGAAGATTTAATTAGGAACATTAAAGAAAAGTAGGAAGAAAGCAAGACAAGAACAACAAGGTGAAGAAAGAAAAATCTGAGAGAAAGTGGTGGAAATGCAAGTCATGCAGAGAAGGAATAACATGTATATAATTGGAAATCCCTATAAGAGGAGAGAACACCATGAGACCAGAACTAAGGGGCACCAGATAAAATGAGTACTTGAGAAAATGTAGCTTGGGAGGACAAAACACAAGACATATTCTGATAAACACTATCAAACTTCAAAGATGAAGAGGAAAAAAATACCCTAGGCCTCCAAGCAAAATGATCGAATAACTTAGAAGGGCAAAGCAATTAGACTAGCATCAGACTCTTTGAAATAACATGCAGCAGGGCAGCAGGGGAGTCACATTTTCAAACAATCCAATAACAATAAAAAAAAATTTTTAAAAAGAAAGAAAAAGTTATGTACCAAGAATTTTATACCCAGCAACACTGGCTTTTGCACATCAGGTCTACAGAAAAAGCTCTAAACATACAACAACATGGGAAATTTCATATTAATGAGCTGGTGTTTTTTTTTCCAAGATTTTACTTATTTATTCATGAGGACACAGATACAGAGACATAGACAGAGGGAGAAGCAGGCTCCCTGCAGGGAACCCAATGTGACACTTGATCCCTGGGCCTGGGATCACACCCTGAGCCAAAGGCAGATGTCCAACGGCTGAGCCACTCAGGCACTCCTTAATGAGCTCTTTTTAAAGAATTCACTAAAGCATAAACTTTATTCAAGCAAAAGGTAACTGAGAAATATTCACCAAAAAACCTACCACATTAATAATGAATAACACATTAACACATAAAATTATAGATCTGAGACTAAAACAAAGTAGAAATAATAGAATAAGAAATGGAAGGAGAGGGAGTAGAAGTGGCAAGTGAAAAATACAAATTGGTTACTGTATACATGACAGGTAATAGTTAAAAATCACCTTCAAAACAAACTAGTAGGTTAAATAAGAAAATGGTGAAATGAGAGTATTTAAAATGATGTAAATAGAATAGTTAACATTAAAACAAAAATATGAACTTTTCTAAAAGGCAAAAAAGAATTAATTCAAAGGCAAAAAAAACAAAATAAAATATATTTGGTGGAGAAAGAAATATGCTGAATATAAAATAATGCATAATTACACAATATTATGACGGAGTTGAGACCAAACATATCAGGCATATCACTATGTGTGAATGGACTTGATTTACCTCTTAAAAGGAAAAAAAAAAGAACAAAAACATTAAATTTGATAACAAAGCAGGACCTAACTATATGTTGTTTATAAGAAACACATCTAAGACAATGTTAAAAATAAGAAACAGAGTATAACAAGCAAATAGAAATGAAACATCAAGCACAGCAATCATGAAATCAGAAAAGGTAAAATTCAAGCAAAAAACAATAACAACACTAAACATGAAAAACAAGACATTAATTCTAAAATTTTCAAATCATAATAATATGCAGGGCTTATCAATATTTACAAATCAAATAACACAGTAATCACACTTATTTTGAAAAATCCATAGGAGATGCAAAAGACACACTTTAAAACACTAATACTGGGAGAATTTAATACACCATTCTTAGAATAAAACCAAGTACACAAAATTAACTAAGAAGACAGAAGGCCTAAACAACATAACTAATAAAGGAAATAATATACATATCTTGCTACTTGACAGTATAAAATACATTTTCATCTCAAGTACCCAGACAACATGAACAAAAATTGATCATATATCAGTTTTTAATAAAAATATAAGTATGTTCCATAAAGAAGAAAGAAGTGCGTCTCATAATAATAATAAGTTACATTTCTACCCCAATACTACAAACTAAAAGTCATTAACAGAAAAAAAGAAAATATACACGCCCTTCTACATGCAAATTGAAAAAAGTAAAAAGGAAAATGTTTTTCAGGAAACAACAGGACAAACCGACAATTATCCAAATATATAAGGAACTTTTAAGAGTTGACAAAACATCAAGAAAAAAAGGAAACATATATGACTATATAATTCACCAAAAAAAAAAAAAAAGATAATGACTCTTAACACGCGAAAGATATTCAGAAGAGAAATGCGAATTAAAACAACACTATGACATTAGAAAAATTAAAACTCAAAACACACTCTTCTGGTGGGACCTGTGAAAACTCATACTCACAGAGATTGTTGACAAAAACACAGAAATTGGTAGAACTCTTTTGAAGGCAAATCTGGCAATAGCTAACAAAATTATATATGCGTTCACCTCCTTACTCAATCCTCCCACTTCTATTTACCCTGAAGATAAACCTCCAGAACTAATACCTATATTCAAGGTTTTCATTGTAGCACTGTTTGTAACTACAACATATGGGAAACAACCAAGAAAAAAATGTCCATACATAAGAGATAAGTTAAACTATGATCTATCCATCATTGGAGTATTTTAGAGATACGAGAAAGAACAAAAATCTCTCTGAACTGATGTGCAATGATTCTCAAGGCACACTGCTAAGTGAGAAAAGCAAAGTGCAAAAAAAAAGCATATGTCATTTATCAATATAA